TTTAGGTAGGAATTCAGTGGGATGTGTTGTGTTCCCAGATGAAAGATAGCGACTTGTTCTCTTCTACTCAGGGAATTTAGTTCATCTTTTGAGTTGGGAGCAGTCATGTGTGCAAATGCATTTCTTCCAGTTTTGCCCATTGCCCAACCATTCAGCCACTGTTCCCTGGTGTGTACTGTTACATTTGTGTAAAGTTACCTGGCGGTCCGATGAGTCGGGTCTGTCAGGGGGCCCCCGTCCAAGATAAATGTTGCCTCGTCGTGGTCCTGAGTTCGACTGAATACCTCAGTGAGTGTCTCAGACGATGTCTGCCTATTTCGCGCCGGACTCTTGACGTCATCCAAGGGCGTGCCACTCCCCTAATTATCTTGTCCCCTGACATCACACATTTGATGATGTCCTTGACTGTCTGTTGTGACACTGGGTTTTGAGGTTGTGTTTGTGATGCTCCCTTCTTGGCAAGGGTGTCTGCTATGTTGTTTCCCTGGATATTGCTGTGTCCAGGTATCCAGTCAGGTCGACGGCATAGGCCTGTATGAAGGTGTTGATTATTTGAGCCACAGATAGGCAGGCTGGGCTTTCGAAATTCATGTTTTCCAAAGCTTGGAGTACTGATTTTCTGTCTGTGAAGATAACAGTGTCCTTGATTTTGTCTGGATATATAATGAAAATGTGGGTTAGGTGGAAGATTGCTGCTTCAATGGCGATGGCCTCTGCCTCGTAATTTGTACAAGAAGAACCAAAAGCATCAAATAGTTCTTCACATGTTTTGTCAGAATGTTCTATTCTTACCCCAAAGCCTGCATTAATAGTTCCCTTGAAGGCTGACCCATCAGTGTAAATATGAATTGAATCACTAGGGTAGGAGACATTTTATCTTAAACACCTCTCCAACAGGCGTCATATTTCTATATTAGCAATCGGTTAACATCTATTTTAGTTCTTCTGAAGCCAACTATATCCTCTTCCCGCTCCGCCGACAGACGATGTCATAAATATTGACTTCCCTCGCCCATATAATCTCAAATGACAAAAATAAAGTTGGGTTTTGGGCTGTCTTTTTTTTATTGAGAGGATTCAAGAATAATGACACAAAACTCCAGATAAGTAGTAACAATTAATTTTCATTTTCAACAAACACAAAGAATTTACCATTGGGAGAAACTGAAAGGGGTTGAAAATTTGCATCAAGGACAACCATGGAGCATGTTGCATCAAAACCAATTCCTTTGATATTTGCTTGGTCAACTTTGCACTCTTTCATGACGTCCTGAAAAAGACATTAGTTTCAATTTTTATAGACAATTGACAATTACCAAAGGATACATATATTTATATATATATATATATATATATGATCTTAGTAAGTGATCTATTGAGTTCCTCATCGACAAAAATTAGTCATTTCTGAAATTCCCTAAGCATGCATTCAAAGTGATAAATCAATCATCTATGAACCTTTACCTTTCGTCGAAAATTAAAACAAATACGCAAAAATATCAAGCAGTGGGTTCAGTTGCCAACTGGATTTTTAAATTGTGGCTTTTTCAAAATAATATGTCATATATTTTTTTATCATAGTGAAGACCTTTGCAAGGATCGCTCCCTAAGGCAAACACATTATTTTCTTGCCTTAGCACTAAAATCAGAAAATGTGTTAGTGTAAATAATTTCTTCAGTAAAAAGTTTAAAACTTTCCAAAGAATTTAACATTATAATACTCGTATGAACATAACATTTTGCATACACACACATA